AAACGTGTTTACTGTCACGATCTTGCAAATGTTGACCCCTAAGATCGAACATTTAAAAATTTAATAAAAAAAATTATTATTATTATTATTTTTGTTGTTGTTGTCGTTGAAATTATAAATAATTTAATTAATAGAAATTTATCATTTGCCTAAAAAAAAAAATAATAATAATAATTTATTAATATAGAGAGTAAGAAAAAAATTTTTTTTTTCTTTTTAAAACAAATCTAATTACACGTCATTGTTTTTTTTACAAATCGAATTCCTATCGAAAAATCATCGTTGTTTTAATAATAATAATAATTTTGTACAAATGAAATAAAATGAAAATATTTTGAAAAACTAATCAAATTTTATTAAAATTTGTCGATTCTTAAAATCAAGTTAAAAAAAAAAAAAATTTATTGAAATGTTTGAGTCGTCCATTTGCTGAAGGTAACGACCTTTTAATTGTCGTTATAAGATTCAGTCAACTGTATTGGGCTTACGTTTTATTTTACAAATGCTACTAAATTTACAAACAGTTTTAAATTTCTAACATTTGAATTTATTTGAGTTTATCGATTAAAATGAACGTTAGTTAAGTTTCTATTTATATATAAAATTATTACGTTTAAACTTATCATTAAAAAAATAAAAATTTCCTCAAAAAACAAATTTTTGCTTTCATGCCATTGAATATTTCCATGCATTTTCTTTTCTTTTGTTTTTGAATTTTTTCTTATAAAAATTGATGTGTTGTTTTATTGAGTAGTTTTCCTTTTTTCTTTTTAATTACTTTAATTAAAATTTTAAAAACTATTTTATTTAATTATAATAAGTAAATATATCCTTATGATTACAAATAAAATTGAGGAATGAAGTTTGAATGGAGATTTATGTTGTTGGGTTATCATAAATACATCAAAAAAAAAAAAAAAAAAAGGAAAAAATGTTTTTATATTTAAATAAATTATAAATTTGTATTTAAAAAAAAAGAATATATATAAATATATAACTTTTATTTTTGTTCAAAGGATTTTGAAATATTTGTTGACCTTTTATTCTGGCAGTAACAACCCACTTAACTCATTTCAAGAGATAAAAAAAATCATAAACGACCAAATAGAATTTATCACTTAAAAAAAATTTTTTTTTTTTTTTTAAACATAAAATACTGTTTATTATGTTTGATTTAAAAAAAAAAAAAAAATGTTCTTTTGTATAAATTTTTTTTTATTTTTTTTTTTCACTGTGCGGTTTTAAAATTTATTCATTTAAAATGTAAATTTTCTTTTAATACTCTGAAGTGGTATTAAATTTAATACTATTATTCAGGTTTTTTGAACATTTAAATGTATAAATATCGAACGTAAATAGGAGTTGTTATTAAAAGAAGCAAAAAAAATATATATATGTATATATTTTTCAATTGATCTTATCCATTTTTTTTTTTTTTTTTTTTTTTTTTTTGTTTACTGAATGTTTTCAAATAGTAATGGGGGAAAAAAACCCGGGAAATAACATCGTGTAAACACCGTACGTGTGAAAACACGCTCTCAATCTTCTGACACGTTAAAAGTTTTTCAATGGTACTAATTTGTTGTCAAAATGGAGAACTTTGTCGCCACGTATGTATTAACGTCGTTTTGTTTTTTAATTTTAAATGCAGAAACGACGGTTCCATGGTATGAAGATTTACCAGCGGTTGCTATGGACTATAAAGTTCACATAGATGCGGGAAAAGAAGATTGTTACTTTCAATATGTCAATCCAGGAGCGACTTTTTATGTTAGCTTTCAGGTAGCCGGATTACAAATTGCTTACATATTATCCATATGCTACGTGTTTATCGGTGTTATTGTGTTCAATATTTGGCCTAAAATGATTTTTTAAAATCATAAGTAAATTTTAAAAGTAATTGTTTTTTACTTTTATAAACGCCATTAAATTTTTTTCTTACTGTAGTCATAAATAAATTACATGGCATTGCCGAAAATATGATTGTGAATTATATATTTTTTAATTCGTTTACCGATTTTTATTTTTTTTTTTTTTAGAGTGTTAAAAAAAATTAAATTGGTTTTTTTTTTTGCAATTTTAATTTAACAAATTTTACACAGCGAAATAAATATTTTTAAAATTTTTATGAATTATTAATAAAATTTCATTTAGTAATATTATTTGAATTAAAATTAAAAGGTTTTAAGGGGAGGTGATGGAATGGCTGGATTTGCAGTACATCATCCATCAGGTGCAATAGTTCATCCTTATCAATGGAAACCTCATTCGGAATACCAAGATGATCATTCAACCGGCGGATATTATTCAGTTTGTGTCCACAATCAGTTTTCAAGATTTGCAGCTAAGTTAGTTAATCTGTATCTGACAGTGGTTACACCTGAAACATTAGATCAATTTACTAAAGAATTAGAAGAATTAGATCTCACTGTGGCAAACTTTACGGTAATAATTTTTTTTTTTTCAAATGTGACTTACTTACCTTAAAATTTATTGTGAGAAACACTTTAGGGTTCGATTTCGAGAAAAAATTCATTTATTAATGTCTTATTTATACTCGTAGGAATCCATAACTAAAGTTCAACAAAATATTAATGAAATTCTGCAACAGCAACATTTTACAAGAGGAAGAGAATCGAGGGATTATAATATATTATTAGATAATAAATCATATGTTCAAAACTGGTCAATTGTGCAAATTTTTGTTATTATTATAGCAACATTCACTCAAGTTTATTTTGTACGTAAACTATTCGATGTTAAATCAAGATCCAGAGCTTGAAATTGAAGAAAAAAAAGAAGAAAAAAATTTAATCAAAAGAGAAACGATTAAGTTTATTACATTCTGCATTTCTATATATATATATATATATATACATAAATCAAAAATTTATCAATTATTATCTATTTTTTTTTTAAATCATCATAAACTGAATTCTTTTTTTTTTTCTTTTTAACAAGAGGTAAATTTGTACTTATTCTTATGTTATTTTATATATAAGAGTAATTTTTAACAAGCATATAATTTATTAAAGTTGAGCATTTAACATTCGATTTTATTTATTTTGCATTTAAAAAAAAACTTTTTATTAAAAGAATACTTTTCAATTTAATTATTTATTGTTTAATAATGATAAAAATTAATTTTATTTAAAAATGTATTAAAAAAAAATATTTTTTGAAATGTTTTTCTTTTTACGTAATTACCAGTATTTACTTAAATTTTTTTAAAATTAATAAATTAATTATTATTAAAATATATAAAAGTGCTCTTATTTAAATATATTTCCAGCAATTATTTAAAATTTTTTCATGTTTAAAACATAAAAAAAATCTTATTTTATAATTTTATTTTTTAAAAAATGTATTTAATAATAATAATAATGTATTTTAATAAGTTAGTTAAAAAAAAAAAAAAAAATAATGGTTTATAAGATCAAAAATAAAAATACTCGACTAATTTTTTTTTTTTTTTTAACATTAAAAACAACATCAAAACATAATTAAATTATGTTTTTATTATATTATTTATTGATCTGTTATAAATTTGACTTAAATTTAAAAAAAAGAAAATTAATTTTAATAAGGTTAATAATTAAAATTTATTTGAATTAGTTTCCCCCTATGTATACCTTGTAATCATCCTTAAATGTAAAACTTTTTTTTTTTTTTTTAAACCAATTTAGGGAAATTGGATTGAAATAACGAGCTTCCTATTAAAAAAAAAAAAAAAAAATTAAAATATCAATAAATTTCTTTATATATTAATATTAATATTATTAAAAAATATTTATTTTATACTCGGGAATGAATGAATGAATGAATTATGGATTTTTATTAATTGTTAAAACGTTTTTTTTTTTTTTTTTTTTTACATTATATTTATTAATGTAATTAAATTATATACACATATATATATATTTTAATAATAATATATAATTAATTAAAATTATTTTTAAATTACATATATATATATAAAAAAATATATTTTGAGAATTTTTCATTTTTTCATTTTTTTTTTTTTTTTTTTTTTTCATTTTTGAGACTGATTCTTGTTATATGTAATATTTATTATTATTTTTTGAAAATATTGTGTGATTTAATGTACTTAATTAAATTTTACACATTTTATTAATTTATATAAATAAATATATAAAAATATAATAAATAATAAATGATTACTTTATTTGGAAAAATGAAAATTGTTTGATTTTTTTTTTTTTTTGTATTAAAATTAATGACTTCATGATAATTTTTTTTTTTTTTTTTTTTTGTATATTTTAATTAATATTTTATATATTATAAATAAATTTGTTAGATTTCTTACACATACTTAATAATAATAATAATAATAATGAAGAATATGCATATAATAATAAATTATTTACTATTCAATAATTTTCTTACTTAAATTTAAAATGTTTTGTTCGTCCATTTAATAATAATTTTTGATAATGTCACGTGACGTAATTATTATTATTAAATTATGAAAAGAAAATTTATAAAATTATAAATTGTAATAAAATGTTAACAAAAATTTAATAACAACAATGAATGATTATTGTTATTATTATTATTATTATTATTATTACGACGTGATTAGTAAATAATAATAATAACTTTTTTTATTTACATTTAATTGTGTATATATGACTGATTTAACTAACGTACGAAGGAGAAATCGTTATCAGTATGATTTAATAAAGGAAAAGAAAACTATTTAATGTTTTTATATAAATTTTTATTATAGTTTTTCAAAAATTTTAAAAAGAAAAAAAAATTTTCCTGTTTTCGAAAACAGGATTCGATTGAATCGATCGTACGTACGCAGAACAAAACATGCATTTAACTAACATCGACATTAATTTATTGTAAAACTATAGTTATCGAATTTTTTTTTTTTTTAAACAATTATTTTTGTGTGTTTGTTTGTGTAATAAATGAGTAGTTTGTACTCGTTCGTAAAAATTAATAAATAATAATAATAATAAGAAGAAGAAGAAAAAGTCGATTAAATGATGGAAAACAAGGAAATAAATTTGAGACAACAATCATCTGCGATACGTAGAAAAGGTTAGTTTATAATTAATTTTTTTTTTTTAATCCCCTTTTTCCCGATAATCAATCAATCAATCAATCAATTTTTTTTACGATTACTTTAAATTAAATATTATAAGATTTTTTTTTTTAAAAAAAAAAAAAAAAAAAAAAAATGTACCGTTAAAAAAATTTTTTAAAAATGAATGAAATTTTTTTTTATTCTTTACCCGCCTATTTTTATTTCATTCATTCATTCATTTATTATTATTATTATTATTATTATTATTACATAATAATTTATTGTCCTTAAAAAAAAACTCATTGTGACATTTGATACGTTTTAAAGAGGTGTCAAATTCATTTAAAAAAAAAAAAAATTATTTAAACTTGTATGAAATTTTATTATCGATAAAATAACGTGATAACGTGATTGATTGATTGATTTAAAAAAAAAAAAAACTAAACTATTTTGCTTCTTTTTTTCTCTTCGATAAAAATTATTATTATTATTATTGTGACAAACGTTTTATTAATATTTAAAAAAAAAAAAGAAAGAAAAGTTTGAAAAGAATAAAATTTTTTTTTGTTTACAATTATTATCATTTAAAATGATTAAGCTTTAAACGTAAACATTAACAGAGCGATCTGCGACCTTTAAACAAATCGGTAAACAATTATTATTATTATTATTTTCAATTATTGATTTTGACATAATAATAATAATATCGATTTTTTCATTTTCGTTAAGAATTATAAAAATATTTATAATAATTTTAATTTTTTTTTTTTTTTTTTAATTTTAGGAAGACTTAAAGATAATAATTTGGAAAAGGATAAATTTTTTGCCAACAACGACCACAACAACAAGAATAATAATAATAATAATAATGTTGCAAACGCGTTTGTTGATTTGTTAAAAAAAACAACACAAAAAGAAAAAATTAAAATTAGAAAAAAATTAGAAAATGATTTAAACGAATTTACTAAAAAT